CTGAAGAATAGAATTGACAAAGACGCAAAAGTAATTGGGTAGAAGAAAGTGATCCATTTCAATAAATAGTGCCTGAGTACTTGGACATGAATAGGCAAAAAACTAACCTTGAGAAAAATCTTACATCTCATATAAAAGTAACTCAAAATGAATCATAAATGTAAAATGTAATTTTAAAACATGAAACTATAAAATTTTAAAGAAAATCTTTGGGACCTAGAGCTTGGTGAACAGTTCTTAAGACACAAAAACTACAATAATAAAAGAAAATAACTGATAAGATTGTCTTTATCAGCTGCAGACTGCAAGAAAACATTTGCAAACCCCATAGCTGAAAATTTTCTCATATCTAGAATATATAAAGAACTCTTAAATAACTGCAAAATACAAACAATCCAATTTAAAAACTGACCAAAAAAACATGATGAACCATTTCACTGAAGAGTATACACAGATAGCAAATAAGCATATAAAAAAGATGTTTGCTATCTCCAGCTATTAGGGAAACATGTTAAAAATATGATGTTCATGAGTACACATCTATTAGAAGAACTAACATAAAAATATTAAATATACCAAATGTTGGTCAGGGTGCAGAATAACAACACCCTTTGTAGGTGGAAATATTAAAAAAAAACAGCCATTCTGGAAAGTAGTTTGGGAGTGTCTTATAAACTAAACATTCATTTGCCATTTGACCCAGTAATCATACTTCTTGGCACTTATCTCAGAAAAATGAAAACTTATGTCTACACAAAATCCTGTACACAACTTTTCACAGAAGCTCTGTTTGTAATAGCCCCAAACTGGTAACAACAAAAATGTCCAACAATTGCTGAAGGGCAAAATAACCTGTGGTACATTCATACCATTGGCATATGAAGAATAAATTATCAGTATATGCAACTAGGATGGATTTCTAGGGCAACATGCTGAGTGAAAAAACTTAGTCTCAAAAGATCACATACTGTATGATTCCATTTATGAAACATTTCAGAAAGATAAAATGATAGAAATGGACAACAGGTTAGCATTTTCCAGGGCTTAGGGATGGTGGGATGCCAGGGCAGGGTGGGGGGCATTGATATACTATAGTTACATAAGATACAACCAATGCAGGAAATTGGGCAAAACGTACACAGAAACTCTCTGAACTATCTTCACAATTTCGTCTGAAATTATAATTATTGCCAAACAAAAGTTTTTCTTTCTAGAAAATTTAATTATCATATACAGGAATAACATCAACAAAAAGAAAGTCTATTAGTCTATGCATAAACATTATTAACATTTTGTTATATTTTTAGCTTTATTTTAAAGTCAAATCTCAAATATATGTGTATTTTACTCTGCTATATTTAAAATTGATAACCAACTTTTACTCTGCTATATTTAAAATGGATAACCAACAAGGACCTACTGTGTAGCACATGGAACTCTGCTCAGTGTTATGTGGAAGCCTGAACAGGAGGGGAATCTGGGGGAGAGTGAATACAACTCTATGTATAGCTGAGTACCTTTGCTATTCACCTGAAGTATCACAACATTGTTAATCGGTTATACTCCAAAACTAAATAAGAATTTCTTATAAAGTTTTTGTTCAATCTTTGTTTCAAGTCTTTGAGAGGCATTCCTGGAATACTGTGATAACCCCAAATTGAGAGAAGATGGGCAAGTTTCCCCATACTGTCTAAACAGCTCATTATAAAAGTAACCATCAAGAGATTCACTTACTTCTAGTTCACAAACTTCTAGATTTTACATAAAGGTCAGAAACTAGATAAAATAAGCAGCAAATTCTTGTAAAGGAGTTATAAAATTAGAAAGAACTTCTGTTTTTACAAAAGACAACATGATTATCATAAATAGTGATTATCATCTCTCTGCTATGCATCAAAACAAAAGAATTATTTTTCTCTCCCCAGTTGCAAGCCAACTGCCATACTTACAGTACTGCCAATTTTGTGGGGGGTTTGCATATTTCTTTCTCTGAGCCCCTGCTACTACGCTTAAAACTGCCAAAAAGGAAAGACTCAGTAACCACGGAGGCTGAATGAACACTTGCTTGTGACAGTTCTCTAGCATAAATTATATAATCACTCAGTATTCAATGATTCTGATTCAATGCCACTGAAAAGAGCAGGTGATCATCATGTACATTTTGGGAATATCAATTGTGGATCACCTGGAAAAGTTTCAAAGTCACTTCTTTAATGTAATTATGGACATCATTACAGCAAAATTACACCCAGTCACAAATAAGCCTTGTTAAAAATGAAATTCTGCAACAGGTCACTTAACTAGGTTTTCTGTTTTGTTTTCTCATTGGGCATAGTCACTTTCACACTGCAGGCAGATTCTTTACTGTTTCAGCCACTAGGGAAGCCCTTTCAACAGAATCTTGACTTCTAATCAGAAGAGGTTTACCTACATCATATCTGTTATGAAGATATCTTTGCTGGTTTTATTTTAAACATAGGACTTATTATGAAAGATTTGTGGAGATTAACTAAATCTATTCTTTGAGCAAACTCCAGGAGATAGTGAGGGACAGGGAAAACTGGCATGCTACAGTCCATGGGGTCACAAAGAGTTGGACACAACTTAGTGACTGAACAACAACAGCAATGCTTTGTACTATATCAGACTTTGTCTTCTTCCTTACAAAGCTGTTGTTAAAAACCCTTGACCACTATGGCTAAGGGGATAGTCTGACTCATCTTTGGTACCTTCTAGGCAGTTCCTCAGGATTCCCTGGTGGCTCAGATAGATGGTAGAGAGTCTACCTGCAATGTGCGAGACCTGGCTTCGATCCCTGGGTCGGGAAGATCCCCTGGAGAAGGAAATGGCAACCCACTCCACTATTCTTGCCTGGAAAATCCCACGGACAGAGGAGCCTGGCAGGCCACAGTCCATGGGCTCACAAAGAGATGGACACAACTGAGCGACTTCACTTTCAGGCAGTTCTCACATTTGGTGTTAGAGTAGTTTTGATTATTTATGCACTTCTCAAAATAAAGTCTTTGCCAATAATATTCTGTATGATTCAGATTCTCATCTATTTCTGTGCAAGAAGTCAAACCTAGTGCCTATAAGCAACAAGTTTTTACTCTCTTTTGTGGTTCTGAGGTTTGACTGGGTTTGGCCAGGAGTTCACATATCAGGTCTCAATGCAGCTGCAGCCACAGGAAGGCCTGAATGGGCCAGACATCTAAGAAGGCACGTTCACAGAACTGGCAGCTGATTTGAGAACTCAGCAGAGGCTATCATCCAGAATGCCCACCTGGTCGTGGCCCGTCCAGGTGGGTTGGGTTTCCTATACTATAGCAACTGCATTTTGAGAGGCAGTTTCCAAGATTGAGCATTCCAAGAGACGTAGTTGGAATCTGAAAGGCAAGGCTCTCTATGATATAGTCTCTGAAGTTCCAGAATGTTACTTCTGCTATGTTTAACTGGTCAAGTCATTAAGCTAAACCCAGTTTCAAGAAAAAGGGTATTAAACTCCAACTAATGATGGAGGAAAAATACCACAAAGTAATACCACAAAATACCAAAATGGAGATATCTTGTGGCCATTTTGGAAAAATATAATTACTACATATGGAAAGTTTTGTTTTTCTCCAATATGCTACTATAAAATGCCCTATTTTACTGGTTAACATCAGAAATGACAGCATGGTGGTCTCCCTAAATGTTTTGCGTCTTTTTCCTTTTATTACCTTTCCTAACAGTAGTAGCATTATTAAAGCTGCAGAAACATGGAGGTGACTAAGCATCAAAAATTGTGTGGTGGAGAAGGCATTTCTGTATAGAGCTGTGCTGCCTAACATCACAGTCACATGTGGCTACCAAACACTTAAGGTGTTGCTAATCCAACTATAGTGTAAATGTGAAATACATACCAGATTTAAAGGACTTAGTACTAAAAAGAAATATAAACTATCCCAATGATAATGTTTATACTGATTATATGTTGAAGTGATGTTTTGCATATACTGAACTAAATAAAATATATTATTCAAATTAATTTCACCTGCTTCTTTAACTTACATGACTACCAGAAAATTTTAAGTTATATTTGACTCAGATATTATCTAGTTTGCATAATATTTCCATTGGAAAGCACTGACTCAGATAATAAACTAAATCATATTTCCACTGTGTAGCACAATGGTAGTTCGTGGTGTTTACATCATTAAATGATTTTCAGGCATTTTAATTACCTCATGCTAAATCTTATGTGAGATATATAAGCACATTGAAAATCAGTATTTTGGTATTTCTATAAAACTGATTTCCTTTCCTGAGATTTAAATACACAGTTTACATTTAATATACCTATATGTTTAGTATATAATTGTAGCAATTCATTTTATATAAGATTTCAAAGTTTCTCAGAGTATCTCTATATGACCTCTGATTAAGATTATGTATTAGTTTTCTATTGCTACTGTAACGAGTAACCACAAATGCAGTGATTTGATACTAACTTATTACCTTACGGCTACATAAGGCAGAAGTATTAAACTGGCCTAAAATAAAGATGTCAGGAAGGCCATGTTCCTCTCAGAAGCTCCAGAAGAGAACTGACCATTTGGGTTATTGGAAGATGTTCCAGACATCAGTTGAAGGCGATTTCCAGGATTGAGAAGCTCCTTGGATCATGTCTCTCTTCCTCCAACTTTAAAGCCAATGTTGGGCTGCACTCCACAGACCCACAAGCCCTGTACCGGCCCAGCTTCACGACTGACGAAAGAATCCAAGGCAGACACAGCAGTAGTTTAAAGCAGCGGTCCCCAACCTTTGGGCACCAGGGACTTGTTTCATGGAAGACAATTTTTCCAAGGGATGGGCAGGGGGATGGTTTCAAGATGATTCAAGTGCTTTACATTTATTGTGCAATTCATTTCTATTATTATTACATAAGCTCCACCTCAGATCATCAGGCATTAGATCCAAGAAGTTGGGGACCCCTGGGTTTAATGGAAGGGAGAGCTTACCCATCTGAAGCAAGGTCCTGGAGCAAGGCCCAAAAATGTGCAGCAGACACTAGCAGAACATGGCGACAGTCTTTGCTCTCAGGAGAAGGATGGAGATTGCCGGTTAATAGGGAAGTGAGGTCAGGTGGGTTCTTTAGTTACCAGGGAAACCAGCAGAGGGGCATGCACCTCACTGCCCCTTTGATAAGAACAGTTACCAGCTGGGACCTGGAGAAAGTATGTAGGAAGGTCAGCCAGGTGGGTAAAATACAGATGCAGCAGGCACTGGTCAGGCAGGAGATGTACAAGAGCAAAAGAATGGCGATATTTAGTGGCCTGACTATATAGCTAGCAATGGCTAATTGACTCTCTCATGCTTTGAATATCTCCTTCTTCCACCACACCTTTCTCTGAGCCAGCCAAGAAAGGTTCTCTGGTTTCAAGTAACTGTTTAGATTGATCCCACCTATTTAATCAAGCTTAATCACTCCATCACAAATCCCTGTACTGAATCACATCTGCAAAATCCCTTGTACCATGTAAAGTGAAGTGTTCATAGTTTTCAGGGATGAGCGTGGACATCTGCTGGGGGTGCGGTGAGGCATTATTCTGCCTACCACCAATAGGAATCAACTTTTTACAGGGAGATAAAACTCCTTATAGATATATCCTTGCCATATATAAATGAAAGAAAAGTATTTTTCAAATAAGGTACCGTGCTCTCAGACTGAATCATATTGATAATCTAAATCCACTAGGACATTAGAAATTTACTTCAAGTTTGTAGGAATGTCAAACTAAAATAGTTAAAAGCAGCTCTGGGACATTAAAGCAAACAACTATTGGAGTAATAAAGCTTTGTCAGTCAATAACCTCAGCTGGGCTTTTCAGATACAAGCTATGATAGTTATGTCTAAGGAAAATATTAAGGCAAGTCTAGTTTCAATTTATCTATCAGAAGAAAACAAGCAAATTAAGTCATGTCAAAATTCAAAAAGCTCTGTTATTATGTTTATATGACTTTAAAACATATATTAAAATTTCTGATTTTAAAAAACGACCCAAATAGGATGAGGCAATATATAGATCACTAACAATCTTCTCCAACTAACTATTAAGTATGATCAATAGCCAGGCAAATCAACTGTTCATCTGTGTCTGACTGGCTAAACTTATTTCAGCACAGAAATAGAACTACAAGTTGGCCTTTGATCCTGAACCTGTATTATAATTGTGTGGTAACTTTTTATTCAGAGCCTATCTACAAATTCATTAAGAAATTTGAATATGCTTCAATGGTAAAAGGTTCTAGTACATATTCGAATATGGCAGGGTATGAGGGGATCCAAGCAATTCTCAGAACACCAGCTGGGTGTCCTATAATTCAATTCAATTCTGACACTACCTACCTTTAGATAGCATCAGATTCCACAGGTAAGGCTTCAGTTCTGCAAAACAGCCTCCCTATCCCACCCCACATCAAATGCCAATAGTAAGTTCAGATTGCTACCTATGCATCTGACCATCTGGCTATAAACCACAGTTCCCACTAACCCTTCTTCAGTTTCATTTAATTTACTAGAGCAACTCAGAACTCAGAGAAACATTTTACTTAGTATTAATAGATTATCATATAAGACTGTAACTCAAGAACAGCTAGATGGAAGAGATGCCTAGGACAAGGCATGTAGAAAGGGGTGCAGAGCTTCCATGCCTCTACAGATGCACCACTATTCCTGACCCTTCACGTCCTCATCAGTCCAGAAACTCTCTGAACCCTGTCCTTTTTGGGTTTTTATGGAGGCTTCATTACATCACTGCATAAATCATTGGCCATTGGTGATTGAACTCAACCTTCAGTGCCTCTCCCTTCGCTGGGATTCAGGAGGATAGGATGGAAAGTTCCAATCTTCTAATTACATGGTTGATTCTCCTGGCAACTAGCCTCCATTCCTAGGTCCAAAAGTTACCTCATTAACATAACAATAGACATCTCTCATCACTTAGAAAATTTCAAGGGTTTTAGAAGCTCTGTGCCAGAAGTGGGACAAAGACCAAATAAATATTCCTTACTATAAATCACAATTTTACAAATGGAAATTTATCTATAAAGAAAAACCTACTAAGATGATATTATCAGAGACTCATAATTCATTAGCATTAAAGAAAGATAGGTTTAAATTGAAATACAGCCTGTTTTGAAAGCAAAGAAAAATCAAATATTTGCAAGCAACCTATTTGTAAACTAATGGTCAGTAGTTAGTTTCATATCCCCTTTCCTTCTTTCCCCTTCATTTCATCCAAATGGAACTGTTTCTATTTCCCATACTGAATACACTATGCTGATTCCTGCTTCTGTGTCTTTGCACAGGCTGTTATCCCCACTCTTAAATTCCTAACTTCACTTGATAAGAACTTTCTCCTCTGTGATGCCTTCCCTGTTCAGTCCTAAATTGAGCCACTTCCTAGTTGCTGCTATTACTGGACTTGGCCCTGATCAGCATTTCAGCTCATATTGTGCTCTATTTTACTTACTTGCTTATATGTTTGATTTCCCTTGACAACTAAGACTGAGATTGCTCAAACTCTGAAATCACCAGTTGTAAGCACAGTGTCTCTAGAACTATGTGACTAGAAATTGCAATAATACTAGCAAAATTTAACTCAAACTTTGTATTTTATCTATATTTAATGGTTAATACAAAAATCTATCAATAAAATATGTTAAATTCCTCTTAAATTCCTTCACAAGTATTATTCTACCTATAATACACAGTCATATAATAGTCTGCTTGGAACAGTCCTGACTCATGCCTTTTATATATCTGTTAAGGCCTGTTAATCGTCTCACCTCTGTTTCTCAAAAGTATCCTGATTTGAATGACAAATTATATGATTACCTTAAATTTCCTGAACATTATCAATGGCAAATTAAATACTACAGAAGATCAAACATTTCAAAGCCTACAAAAGAAAAACTTTTATTTTCGCAATTAACTGTTACACTGGATTCTATGCTGCTTCACTCAGATCCCCTTTTCAATTAGAAATATCAGCTTCCGATGGCTTGTAGCTTTGTTCCTGTCCAGGATCTGAGTCTCAACTACAGGTAACTGCCCCATACAAGGTTACACTGTTTCCAAGGTTGGCCCACAGGTAATGAACAACAGCTGTAAGGACAAAAAGATCCTCTCCTCAGTTTGGGACAACTGTGAGGGGCCAGCCTATCTCCAGGTCTTTCCATAGAATGGCTGAGATTTCTGTTGCAAGTCACCTTCTCCTTCTACCCAATCCTGCCTTCTTCACTGCCTTCCATGTATAACTTCCAAGAGAGTACTCCAATAAACCTTCATGCTACCCTTAATCTCCAGGTTACCTGACCTAAGATAGCACTCTTTCTCTTCTTTGTAGTATCATCTCCTGGCTATGAAGTGTGCGAGGCTCAGGACCCTTATTTTTTGTCCAAGTTTGAACTGACACTGCATGCCAGGACTCTTGCTTCCTATTTATTCCTTTCTTTTCTATCATTTAACCCGTTTTTCTTTTTATGTAACAAAGAAATCTAAATAAAGCCCAGAGTTTAAAAAAATACATAGCAAACACTTTTGAGAACTATGTGAGCAGTGCCTGAACATTGGCCAGTAAAGGAATCCATTTCTTGAGAAAGGGACATTGGAAACAATCCACAAGGTGAAAGACTAACCTGCTCCACAAATATTAGAAATCATGACTGTCTCTGCTAGAAGGCAGAAGATGGAAACAAAAGACTCTCACCCTTCAGGCTTTCTGGTCTAGGGCAAATAATCTTTAGGGACATCCATCTGTGTATTTTTCTTTGCACAGAAACTGTCTTGCCACTCTATGATATCCTCTATTACTTTCTAGTTATTTTTATTTTATGCAAATAATCTCTTTCTCTTCCTGTGCTCTGGCTCTATCCAGGTAGATAGAGCTCTTCCCCTTTTAAAAAATAATTATAGCTGCCTACCTTTGTTATTTTAGCTTTTCTTATTAATTTAATAATCATGTAGCCTACATCTCTGCAGGGCTCTCTCAATTAATTTTTAAGAAAGACTAAAACATTAGATCACAAATAAAAGACCCATGGGAAGAGTTCATTCCCTCAAAAGAAGAATCTAGAAGCCTCCTTTTCCCCAGTGAGCACTGCATAAATTCCTCTTAAATATCAGAATGATCTTTATTATCCAGATTTGGATAATTCCAAAATTAGCTTGTTAAGAAAGATTGAGTAATTATTTAAAAATCAGTCCTCCAGTAACTCAGGAAACTTTGGGAAGAGTAAAACTAAATCCGAAAGCAGTTGAAACAACAATACAACCTTATTTGTAAAACAATTCATAGACTAGATACCTCCCACTTCCTTGTCCTTAAAAAAGGCACAGAAAAGAAGGCAAGGAATACAAAATCAAATTTAGCCATTTAATCAGAACTCCACCATTTATTATTTCTCTCAACTCCCTAATTGTTGAATTCTTGGCTTCTACATCACAACTTCAGAATCTGTCTCCAGTCTCCTTGATTTTGACAATTCCTTTCTATGCTCTTGAATTTTGATTTCATGTTATAATCTGAGTTTGGTTCATCTCTCTGATTTTAGAATATCTACTATTGTACAAACCTGTAAGGAAACTATTTGCTTATCTTCCTCCTCTTACTTCTTCATAAGCTGAGGTTGTAAAATTCAGATCTATAAACTAAAACACATGGTTTTCAACATACTCAAAAGCTAGTCACTATGATGGCATAATTGACAAACTTAAGGATAAAAAACATAAAGCTTCTAAAACAGTGAACTGATCCAATAATAATCAACTCTAATATGCAGTCCATGAAGAAAGGAAGGAAGGAAGAAGGGAAGAAAAGAGAAAGGAAGGAAGGAAGAGAGGGAGGGAGAGATGGCAGGAAGGAGGGAGGAAGGAAAGAAAAGGAAATAGACTTGGAAGCTGCCTACACATTTTTAGAATTTTAATTCTAATTTGTCTCTAGTATTTGAATAGTCATTGCATACAGATTATCCTAAGTGCTTTACCCCTTTAACTTGAGCAATAAGGCTGAAGTTACTTTCAAAACGGTTTTTCAAGGGAGAGGTGAAAAATCCCCATAATCTCTGATTCGGA